AAAAAAATTACAGTTTTTATTATAATATTAAATATTATAATTACCTTATATAAGAGAATAATTGGGTATTTTTTATTGTAAGAAAATTATTACAATCGGCACAGAAAAATGTTTATCTTTGTACAAAGTTTTTCAATTATTAGAAGCTAACTTAACTAGTTACAGTTACATTGCCAAAGTAACTTTTAACAAAACTATTCTTATCTTTAAAAATAAATTTCGCGAATTCCTCACAAATCATGTCAAAATTTTGTTCTACCATTAGGGGAAATGTGCCATAAATGACCATGTTTGAAGACTAGCCACCACCCTTTAACATTTTATCTATTGGACCGATTTCTAATTCCTGTGAAATCAGATGTTTAAAATCCAAAAATCGCCCTTAGTAAATGATTTAAAATTGAGAGATTCCGAAACCCCATACGACATATATATTATCCATAGGCATTTAGCATTATTCACACAAAAAATTAGAGCTTAAGTTTTATTTAATAGATATATAAAGGCGATGAATAATAATAGACAGATGAGTATTGTCTGGTCCTGTATTGACTGGCCACAATTCACACATTAATAGATTAACAATTTTTTATTAATCATATTCTTTAAATAAAATTTTTTATAAAAAATTCTCTATAAAATCCTTCTCTGTAAAAACATTCTCTGTAAAATCATTCTCTATAAAAAAATTCTCTAACGACGTTCTCTATAATTGATTTCTCTGTAAAAGTTTCTCTGTAAAATACATTCTCTATAAATAAATTCTCTATTTTTGTTTTCTCTATAAAGGTTACTCTGTAAAATACATTCTATGTAATGGTTTCTCTGTAATGACGTGGAACCAAGGAAAATTATATTTTTATTTAACGATTAGGGAAAGAGGGGATATTAAATAATTTTTTTTATTTATTTCACAGATAAGCCGTCACTTTTTTTATTGTTTGCCGATGAGCAAAATTATGTGAACGCTGAATACATTGCTACTAAAATAGCAAAGGTTTCAAACAAAGATTCGTGTTTTCAAATTGTCCATAATATTAATAGTAGTCCTTATTCAAAAAATGTTGGCAACAAAATTATATGGAAAAATAGTTGTGCTACCAATAATATTGGGAATAGTATTTCTAATATTTTAAAAAGGGCCCCTTCTTTTATTTCATATTTAAATGATCGAGGGCATCAAAACATAATTTACTCTCAAATAATTGGAGAAAATAACCTAATCTTAGGTGATCACGTATTATTACCTATCCATAGGACAGATAGAACTAATATCTGTCCTAAAAATTTAGTAGGGAAAATATTAAAAATTGAAAAAAATAAAATATGGGTAGGTACGTGTGCTGGAAGAATTTCAACACCGTTTATTGCCTCTAGTCTGTATAAAACGATAAAATTAAATGATTTTGAAGTTCCCGACAAAGGTATATCAATCATAGGTAATTTAAGCTTTTTTTATTATAGTAACATACTCCTCAAATTAATTCATCTATATAAAATATATTAATTATTTATTTAAACTGCTAACAATATATAGGAGCCTCCCGGAGTGTTACAAACTATGGGAAAACGTCGTTATGTAATTGCAAAATGGGTTGCATGAACAAAAGATGCGAATGTTACAAGAACAATCTTAAATGTTCAACTAAATGTCATGTATCATTAAATAATTGTTGTAATAAATAATTTATTTTTTAATTCCGATTTTTTTTAAAATATATATTCATGCGAAAATATTTATGATTTTTATCCTTTTTGAAAATTTATATTAATTAGTTTATTATATAACAAATAAAGAAAATAAAAACTAGACGGCAAAAATTGACAAAAAAAGTATATTATTTTATTTTAGAAATAAAAACAAATTTAATAGAAAAAAATATATTTCGAATAAGGTTTGACTTATAAAAACAGGAGAAAGAAAATTAAGATTATATTAAAAAAATTTCTTAATAAATAAAAATATATTTATAGTAGAATTAGGCGTATTTGATACATAAAATTAGTCCTGACCCCCCCCCCCCCCAATAATAGCATCTCCATCGCGAGGTATCGCTTGGCTTGTTGCCTATTCAATATTATATCTATAATAAGTTCAATAAGAAATTACTTAAAATATATGGGTCTGAACCACGAATCTGTGCTCGGGGATTTTTTTTAAAAAAAATGAGTTTTGATGATTTTACATTTATATGATAAAATAAATTATTAAAGATAAAAGGTGGTTAAAGGGAAAAATGAATAGAGTTTAAGTTTATTTTTATTATATAAAAAAAAATAGCTAGATTTAAAAAAAAGTTGTTTTTTTTCGTTTTTTCAATTTTTTTTTGTTGTTTTTGTGAATATTTTTTTCAAAAATTTTAGGAAAGTAATAAGAAAGAAAGAAAAATTAAAATATGAGTTATTGCTTAAGTCGGGTATATTATTTTTTTTAAATGTTTTTTTTGTTATTTTAAATAAATATAGTATTAATGGGTCAATTCAATTTTATTCATTAAATTGAAATATAGTCTTAAAATCTAAGCAATTTTAGGAAAATTAGCATAAAATCTTAAATTTTGTATTTATTAGGGGTAAAATATACCCCATCTTTAAAGTTTAAGTGATTTTTTTAACCTTTGTCGAAATAAATTGATATTATTGAAATTTATACAAAATAAAAATATCGAAATATAGTAATAAACGAGTCAATTTTATTCATTAAATTGAAATATTGTATTAAAATGTATACAGACAGATGATTATTAAATTCATAAGAAATTCTCCAAATATTAAAATAAAAAATTTTAGGAAAGTAATGAAAGAAAGAAAAGAAAGATCACTTAAAGTAATAAGAAAGAAAGAAAAGAAAGATTTTATTAAATTCTTAAGAAATTCTCTAAATATTAAAATTTTTATATAAAGCTAAAATGTTTAATAAAAATTATAATTTTTAAAAAAAATTTTAAAAAAGATTCCAAAAAAAACGTGGGGATTCAAGATCTCGAATCCCCACGTTGGGATTCCGAATCCCACGAGATTCCATATCCCAATACGACATATATATTGTTATATTCAATATCTGTCTGAATTTTTTTTTTAAATAAAATTTTCCTGTTTTTTCGTTTTCCCCCTAATCATAGTTCCCGAGAATTTACACCCCTAGGCATAAGCAATGATACCCTGGTTTAAGCAAAGATTTTCATCAATTTTTTAGTTTGAATTGTTTTATGGTGTAGTTTGTAGAAAAATAATATCTAAGAATTTTTAAATATGATTAAGTATATTTTACTAATGGATTGCAAAACTATTCAATATTTACATCAATCAAGAATAAGAAAATACCCATCCACTAATGCATTGATTTTAATTATAGTTCAAACTTTCTCTTTACGTGGAATGTAGTTGATAAATATCTTGGAAATCTGCAATTAAGAATAAGGATTTAGTATCTTTCCATTAAGATTTTTTCGGAAATAAATATTATACTATTTTTAGGAAATAATGTTCCCCCTCTTTGATCCTTCTATCCTTTTTAAACTCTTGCAAGTCCTTATAGTTCTGAAAAATTGAAAGCCAGATTTTTTAAATAAATTAAAAATTATTATCCTTGAACAATACCTGTCCCATCAACAGATAAAATTTTTCTGAGTTCATATAGTGAAATTTATTTTTGAATATTTTAATTTGCTTGATTTTATAAATTAAACTGGGAAGGCGAATTAAGAAATAATAAAACTTCATATATATCTCTAAACCGATAATAGGAAAACATAGATATGATCATTCATAAAAGAAGAAATTGACTATTAATCATGGCATTATGGATTTTACCCCTATTATAATAATTATCTCCAAAACCGTTAAAATTTCATTCTGCATGACGATTTATTTCTTACTTATTTTTTTAAATATATTTTTTGGATTAATGAGTATTTTAGGCAATCATTTTAATCATATCCTTATGATAAAATGGATTTAGCTTGATTAAAACTTCAGAACCTTAAGGTGAAACAAAATTTAGCTAGGGAACAGATTTTGTTATAGTTTAATGAATTCTAAAGGAATTTCATAAATTTTCTCAAGACCGATTATTTAATGTTTCCGAAGCCAAAACAATCGTTTTCTGACTAAAAATTTTAATGCATATTTTTAAAAATTAAAATAACCGGACAAAAAACGACTGTAAGATTTTTTAGTATTTTCAAAACATTAATATTTTTGAAAAATGTATATAATATTTAAATATTTCTTACCATTTTTATTTTTAAAATTATCTAAATTTTTTATAAAAATAACAAATATTTCGCATAAAAGAAGAGAAAAGTATGTATATACAAAATGCGAAACAATTTTTGTAGTAAAAAATATAAAAGTGCAATAAATTTTTAAAACCCTATTTAATAATTTGTCAAATATGTATAAAATTCTATTTTTTTATGTGGGACACTTGTAATAAAGGGTATAAAATTTTATGAATATTCTTCATTTTCCTGATATAAAAACTTTCAAAGGGGAAAATGTTATGACAGTTGAAATTCTCTTTTTTGAAATATATATTATTTTTTTTCGTTTATATCTATTATCTCTATGATTTTTGGGTAGGTATTTATGTCATAGAAAGAATATGTTCCGGATTCGTGGTCAAATATTTATTTGGATTGGCAATCAGTGCTCTTAACCTATTCCAATTGATCCCTATTTAGTTCACATATATTTTGATTTTTTAGGATTTAGATTTAGGATTTTCAAATAATTTATAGTCGTTGCTTTTTAATTATATTTTCTTCATTCATTTTTAATTAGAGATCTATTAATATAGCGTAAAGAATTATTCAAATTTTAATATCGTCAGAAAGAAATAAAAGAGGGTAGGCATGGTTAATAAACATGTATGTAAAAGTTAAACTCTATTTGTTTAAAAAATAAATATTATCTGTTTATTGGTGAGATTTTGAAAGATAACTTTTAAAATATATCTTATTACGATTATAAAAAGATAGGCACAAAGATAATAGCTATCATTTTTATTTAATAAATGAACAATTCACTTGTATTAACATTAAGTCTATATAAATAATATATATATATAACATAAGATGTGTAATAAAATTTAATTTAACATTGTATGCTTATCAAAAACATTCTTTCTTTGTTCTTGAACCTGACCCTTCCATTTATCCTTGTGCAGGCCCACTCTACAAAACACATTATCATAAATTCCCATAGAATGTGAGATGCCACCACTTCTATAATTAATAATTGCAGTAGAGTCATCCTATAAAAATATACAATTTATTTAAAATAAATTACATATAGATATTCAAAATTTTGTATAAACGGATAAGGCTTGGATTAAATTTTTTTTTCACTTTCTCTTTCTTTTAAATAAAACTAGCCTGAAATATGTAATGACTGTATTTTGCAAACAAATGAATATGTAAATCAGAAGTATACCAATAGCAAGTATTAGTATCAAGCTCCATTGATATCGGTCGAGATTAAAAATTATGTTTCTAAAAAATAGATACCACAATCTTAAAATTTTTATTTTGCATTCCCTTCTTTCCTTATTGAGGGTAGTATTGTTAAATGGCCAATTTGGATAGATTAAAAATGGCCCGATTAAAATTTTAGCCAAAATAATATTGTGTAAGTCTGAAGATTTTGCTCATAGATGACAGAAAGGTTTGGATCTCTATTTCCAAATCTCGAGGTTTATACATAATATTATTTTGGGCAAATCTTACTTAAGCCTTTTTTAAAAATCGACCCAAATTGGGCCATTTAACTACATTAAGTGGGGGTAATAAAATTATAAGACACATGTAATATAAATGTAATTGTAAATTGAATTTAAATTGAATATAATATTAAATTTTCGTTTGTAAATTACATAACCTGAAGGATTGAATTCATTATATATATATATACGTGATATTTTGTATTAAATATACTTTTACTTTACCTATTTTACTTATTTAATAAAACACTTCATTGGCGACGATTTTTAGAGAAGATTTATTTGATTTATTAAATTTAAAGTAAAAGACTCAATGGAAGTAGCTCCTATTAAAGTTGAAGATTCAATGTAAGTAGTTCCTATTAAAGTTAAAGACTCAATGGAAGTAGTTCCTATTAAATTCCATATTCCAGAATTCGTCAAAGAAAAAGTAAATATTCAGGACTACTTATTTAACTTGGAGTTAATTTATAAAGTAAGAAATATTATAGATTTAAATACAAAAAAAGACCTGCTTTTAGCCTATATCGGAACAGACAATCTTATCAAAATTAAGAACTTTCACTTTCCAATAGATTTAGAGATGATAAATTATGATACTTTAATAAAAAGCTTAAATTTGGTGTTCAAGGATAGTTCGAGCATTTTCGTAAATAGGAAAATTTTTTTACGTTAAAAAGATGCAGTGAGACGATTATTGACTTTTCAATTAGGGTTAAAACTGTCTGTTCCCTTTGTAATTTTAAACCGCCTTTTGATGAACTTTTAAGAGATATATTTATCCTAGGAGTAGGCTTACTTGAGTTGGACAAAGAACTTCGGTCAAAGTATATCGAAGGCAATATTACTTTTGAAGAGACCGTGCGTTTAGCGATCGCGCTGTCTTCGTTGGAAAATGAAACCCAGACTGAAGTTAATAAAATAATTAAAAATAAGCCAACACAGGGTTCGAAAAATAATTATTTTTGAAATAATAATTATACAAACGTCAATAGATTCAATAATAATAAACACTTTAGTAACAATTATATTCCTAATAATAATTATAGACCTAGTATCAAACCTAACTCTATTCAAAAGAAAGTGATATGCTTTCGTTGCGGTAAGGCAAACCACATAGCGAAAGATTGTAGAACCCATGCCATACAAATGATTCTGCCACGGACACCTCGCCTGTCATTTTCAAATAAAGCAACCATCGATGCGAAGATAAATGGGTTGCAGCTAGCTATGGAGTTTGATACCGGCGCCGCGTGTAGTGTGATTGATGAGGTCACCTAGAATCGTATTGGCAGACCACAACTATCACCGGCTTATAAATTAGTGGGATATAATCATATCCAAATCGAAGTACTAGGTAAATGTACCGTAGAAGTCAAAGTAAAAAATATTTCAAAATTTTTACTTATTTGGGTAGTTAAAGGGGAGAATTCCCTTATTTTTGGGATGCCTTTCATTAGAGAATTTGATATAAAACTACCGGAAGAAGTTCGTATTAATAAAATAAATATGAATGTTCCCTCTTTAAATACGATTGCTTCAAAATTCCCTCAAGTTTTTAAAAAAAATTAGGTGAAATCAAACTGCAAAAGGCAGTCATCCGAATAGAACCGAACACGTTACCGATTGCATTACCAGCAAGAAGAGTTCCTTTTCCGTTGCGTCGAACCATTGAAGCTAAGTTGAACAGACTTTTAGACGAAGGCGTTATCGAGAAGGTGGATCCAACAATAACTCCAATCACTTGGGCTACGCCAACGGTTAATATCTTAAAGAAATCCGGTGCCGTACGGATATGCGGAGATTTTCGTTTAACAATCAACAAATATCTAGCGATCGATAACGATTTACTACCAACTTTCGTCGACCTAACAAATAAGATCGCGGGTGGTAAAATATTTTCAACAATAGATTTAAGAGATGCATTTTTACAATTCGGAGTTAGTCCAGAATGTAGGGACCTTTTAGTAATTTCGACACATGTCGGTTATTACCGATACCAAAGAATTCCATTTGGTTTGACTAGCGCTCCGATAATATTCCAACGCTTTATGAAAAACCTATTAAAGGGAATTCCTATGGTTAGTGTATTTTTAGACGACATAATTATTGCAGGTGAGAATAATTCCGATCACATAGTTAATTTGGAAGAAGTATTAAGAAGGCTGGACTGACCACGACGACCGATAAAATTAAAATCGGAGAAAAGTCAGTCACTTATTTAGGTCATGTTATTGACAGTTTCGGAATTCACCCTACAGAAGATAAGATCAGCGCTATAAAAAATTTTAAAACACCTTTCAATGTTAAAGAACTACGTTCATTTCTTGGAATAGTGAATTATCATGAGGCATTTATTAAAAATTTGCATTCTATTTGTGCACCTTTACACCGACTAACGAGTAAAAATGTTGGTTGGTTTTGGTCAGCTAAAGAAAATGAAATATTTATTAAAGTTAAAAATATATTGTCAAAAGAAGATACAATAATTCCTTATTCAGCCGATATCCCTGTCGTGATTTTTTGTGACGCTTCCGAAGATGGTCTAGGAGCTGTTATTGCACACCGATTTCTTACTGGCCAGGAGAAACCGATTGCTTACGCATCGAGGACACTTTCGGCGGCTGAAAAGAATTATGCCACAATTGATCGGGAGGCTTCGGCGATCATGTTCGCTATCGAGAAGTTTAATAAATATATTTTTGGAAGACATTTTATCTTGGTTACTGATCATAAACCATTACAATATATTTTAGGTGATAAAAGATATCTTAACAAAATAACAAATAACCGTTTAATACGGTGGGCGACGAAGCTATTAAATTATGATTATGAGATAATATATAGACCAGGTAATCATAACAAATGTGCCGATGCTCTGTCCCGTTTGGGGGTAGAGAAAGCAAAAACCAATGATGTTACAAAAAAATTCGAAGAAGAAATCAGAGGATTAAAAATTAATTTAATAGAAGATTTATCTTTCACTCGCAGTAAAGTCGTAAGTGAAACGAGCAATGATATAAGCCTAAAAGAGATTATTAAATTAATAAAAAATTATTGGTATATTGATAATATAAATAATTATTCGGAGATTGTAAAAAAATATATTTCGATTAAAGATAATATTTCGTTCGAAGAAGGATTATTATTTTATAATGATAGAATTATTATTCCAGATATTTTAAAAAAGGAGGTTTTATATGTGATTCATCGAGGACATCCTGGGATAGTGGGGATGAAATCATTGTGTAGATATTACGTTTTTTGGACAAATCTCGATACTGATGTTGAAGACTTTGTTAAATGTTGTAAGAGTTGTCAAGAAGGAAGGCCGGGAGCTAAAGAAGTGCCATTATACAATTGGAACATTCCTACCCGACCTTGGGAACGATTACACATTGATTTGACAGGCTCCGTATCTGGAAAGTATTGGTTAATTTGCGTAGACGCTTTTACCAAATGGGTTGAAGTTGCAATTTTAACACATATTAATTCGGCGAGTGTAATAAATAATCTGCGTAATTATTTCGCTAGATTTGGGTTACCTCGCTACATTGTCTCAGATAACGGTACTCAGTTTACTGGGTCTGAATTCAAAACGTTTCTTTTTAAAAACAATATAAAACATTTTAGATCGGCCCCTTATAGCCACAAATCGAATGGTTTGGCTGAACGATATATACGGACGATAAAGACGCGTTTCTATGCTGGAAGGAGATGTGGGACTCCGGACCAGTTAAATTTAGCGAATGTTTTAATTACTCACCGTAATACTCCCAATGCAACTACTGATAAATCCCCTGCCGAGATGATGTTTGGAAGGTCGCTTAGGACGATATTAGATAAGTGGAAATTATCAACGAGAGAAAGGACGGAAAACGCACTATGGAAACAAAAGTACTACAAAGATAGAAGTGTTGAACCTCGGGAGTTTGAAGAGCAGCAAAAATTTTGGATAGCAAACGAAAGGACATCAGGGTGGCATGAAGGAAAAGTGTTACAACGAAAAAGTGCAATATGGTACGATGTGGAATCAGAGGGGATCGTTAAAAACAAGCATGCAGATCAATTGAGGGATGCACATATACAAGAGAAGGAAATACCCGTTACGTTGACAGAAGAAGTGGAAAAGGCAGAACATGAGAATACAACTCTTGAAAAAAGAGTTTCGAAACCCCCACTACGTTATCACGATGAATTCAATTTATAGTGGGGAGAACTGTAATATAAATGTAATTGTAAATTGAATTTAAATTGAATATATTAACTTTTCGTTTGTAAATTACATAACCTGAAGGATTGAATTCATTATATATATATACGTGATATTTTGTATTAAATATAATTTTAATTACTTTACCTATTTTACTTATTTAATAAAACACTTCAACACAAATATTTGTGTACCTTAAGCCCTCCCTATTCAATTTTTTAAATTTATAACTTAATTAGAATTTTTTTCTGAAGTAACCCTTAATTATTTATAGGTTGGTATAATTCGATTCCAAACCACGGCACAATTAGAATGACACTATCTAGCAATACCAGCTACTACACTGATATCAGAAATTTTTCAGAAATCATCCAATAGCAGTGGTTGGAATATGTTGAGAGGAATATTGTTGTCATAATTTTATTATTCTAACTATATTAGGTCTAGAGAATAAAAATTAATTACCCGTAATTTAAATTGATTTTTTATTTCCAAACCCTAATGATGAAAACAGTAATATTAAAATTTTGAAGAAAAAGTAAAAGGAAGGAAATGAATTAATAGATATTTTAATAAAGTTTAAGAACTGGGACCATCTTTTGGAATTTTCATAAACTAGAATTTCAACCCATTTAAAAATTTTCAAAATGGTTCCAATAAAGTTGTACAATAAATATTGTGTGATTCATTTTATAGGGTTTATTTATTTTTTTAATTTTTTTAGTTAATAGCTTTAACAAAGTTTGGAACTGAAATAAGAACCTTGCATCAATCACATTCGAATTTAAGAACCAGAACCCACATTCGAAACCTCCAGGTTACCCAGTATGCAAAAGAATGAATTGGTCTGTATTTGGAAAAGATAAGAAGTTCAAACTTATTGAAGTTATTCCGAACTCAGATGGGGGGGGGGTAAATTAATTTGTAACTGAGATTTGGATGAAAAGAATATAATCATCAATAAAAAGGACTTATAAAATGATAAAAGATGGATATGCATATTCTTTTTGCACAGCTTTCAATAGAGATTTATGAGTGAATGTTATGAAAGTAAATCCCAATCTCACTTAGAAAATGTGCTATTAGGAGCTTCGTGTTTAGGGCTGAAATTTGACAAGCAATTGATTTGGATATGGAAGGTAGGAAGAGTATTATCAAATTAAGCAAATGATGATAAGAAAGCTGGTATATCTAGGGACATCAGTGAATGAAGGCCTAAACCACCTGATGAAAAGGTCATTCAATGTCAAATGAATCAGCCCACAGTCAACCCCATTGATTTCGATAAAAATTTGTAAGCAGGTTATATATGTTCTATTTTATTTAAAACAAAATCTAGATCATTAGATACAAAATCTTATATTTTATGAAAGGGCTCAAAGAATCTTAATTTTCTTGCTTATTTGCACAGGTGAAAGAGACTTGCATCCAAGAAAGTAATGCAAATATTTAAATAATTCATGTGTAATAAATTATAAAAGTTTCAGGATGGGTTGTTTTTATGCTGTGCCAATAATAAATATTGGATAGGCACCGATATTTAGTGTTTTCAAAAAATATAAGATTGGGTCAATATTTTTTAAAAAACCAATCTCATTTTTTATTGTTTTTGTATATTTTATAAATAATTTCATAATAATAATTTAATGAAAGAAACTAAAATACAATTTATTGCTGTAATGTTTAAAAAAAATTGTTAAAAATTTACACTTTTTTTATATTATCTGCAACAAGAAAAGGATTTTAAAATATTTAATGAATCACATAATGGCTCCAATTTGCCAATTTTTAAAAATGGTTACTCAAGATTTTGGTCAAAAGTAAATTACTCAAGCTTTTTAATTTTGCCCACAGATAGTATTGAGGCTTAGTTAATATAATTTTGCAAAAATCTTGTAGTCCTTTTTAAAAACCGGCTAAATAAAGTTGTTTAAACACTACATTTACACCACAAACATTTCAAGTATTTTAAATGAGTTTATTAACTTAGAATAAAAAAAACACTTATCATTTGTGAAAGTTAAATTGTTTTTTTATAGAAAATAATGATATTTTTATGATATTGATATAAAGATAGATGGTATATAAATATCGAATCAGTTTTTTTTGTATTATTGGAAAATATTGAATTGGTGAAAAATTTGGATCAACACACCATAAGTTGCTATAAACACTATTAAAATGAGCATAGGTAGTAGATATCTGTAAAGCCTGGCCTGTTAAATAAATTTGCACAAGTTGCTTGGCAGTAAAATTTTATACATCGACAGGTCTGGCCCATAAATTTTTTTTTACATGAATTTCCTGTCCGTCATAATCTATATTTCTCCTAGTGATAATCAAGGTTCTTATATAACTGCTCTAAGATAACCTATTTCTTTCTAAAAAACATTTATTTATCTCACATGCTTGATATCTGTATTAAGAATTTGTAATTAGATCATATCATGAAACTTGATTAATTTTAACGGGCATAATTAAAATGTGCGCCGTAAACTATGGGCCCATACGCGCCCTCTATCAAAGAAGTTTAATTAAAATTATATTAATAAAAAATCGTATAGCTTTATAAGATGATTTAGAAAATATTTTTTTAATTTAAAAAAAAATGGTAACATAGTAAAATTTTTTAAAAATAATTTTTTTTTACATGACTAAAATACGCGCCCTCTATCAAAGAAACTTAATTTATAAAAAAATGAATGCAGAATCATATATAGTTTATTAAAAGGTATCAAAAAATGATAATATTATATTTCAAAATTTTTTTATAACTTAGTGGGGTTTGAAAAACATTTTTTTGACGAAACCAAGCGCCCCTACACGTCAGAGACCTTCATGGGCTTTAATTTTTTGACCAAGCCCAGCCCAGCCCAGGCTTGAAGTAAAAAAATTTTTTGGCCCAAGCCCAGCCTATATTTAATGCTAAAAAAAATTCCCAAACTAATAATAAGTTTCACAAAAATTTCCCAAGCCTGGCCCATGCCAATATACAAAAAATTAATTTTTTTTTATTTAATGAAAATTAACAATATTTAAATATATTTAGGCAATCATTTTGTTTACAATACTGAAATTTATTATTAGAAGAAAAAAAAGCAATTAGCAACTGTTTTAAATAATTTAAATTTAATAATTTTAGACCCAAGCCCATTAAAAAAAATTTTAAAAACCCAGGCCTGGCCCAGACCTGCTAGAAAATATGATATTGCAGGCTGCAGGCCAGCCCATAAATATCTCTGCTATACGCCCCCAGTAAATATACATTATTTTAAAAAAATGTAAGCATATCATATTAAATTCATTAAAAGGTTTAGAAAATGTTAATATTAAGTTTATAAATTTTTATAACTTAGTGGGCTTTTGAAAAAACACTATTTTTCTTTTTTTTGACTAAAATATGTGTCTCTTACGAACCTCCGTAAATATACATTCTTTTTAAAAAATGAATGCAGAATCATGTTTAGCTTTTCAAGGAAATTCATTTCAATAATTAAATTTTTTTTAAAAAAAGTGAATAATACCATTTTCTGAATCTCCTTGAAAAGCTAAACATGATTATGCATTTATTTTCATAAAATAAAGTATATTTATGGAGGGTGCATAATTTTAGTCAAAAAATCTATAAACTTAATATTAACATTAAATCCTTATGAGCTTAATATGATTATGCTTTCATTTTTTAAAAATAATGTATATTTGCCAGGGGCACATAGTTTAGTCAAAAAAAAATATGTTTTTACAAAAGCCCACTAAGTTATAAAAAAATTTAAAATATAATATTAACATTTTTGATTCCTTTTAATAAGCTATATATGATTCTTGGTTCATTTTTTATAAATTAAGCTTCTTTGATAGAGGGCACAAGGAGCAATTTTAGTCATGTAAAAAAATTATTTTTTTAAAATTTTAATATTGCCATTTTTTTTAAATTAAAAAAAATATTTTCTAAATCATCTTATAAAGCTAAATACAATTATATATTAATATAATTTAAACTAAGCTTCATTGATAGAAGACACATAGGAGCATGTATTTTAGTCATGTCCTATTTTCAAATAAATTTATTAGTTTTAAATTCAAAAAAATATATGAAAATTTTAATGCCTGGGCTGGCCTATTAAAGTCACATAAAATGCCTCTGACTTCTTATGTATAAATTGTCTGGTTTGGCCCAAAAATTCTTTTAGGCCTAATATAAATTTTTCGATGGGCCAGGCATTGAGATCTCAAATAGGTTCGTATAAAAACTGTTATTCAAGTAACATAAAAAAACTTACGCCTTCATTGTGATATTCTGTATAGAAATCTGGACTAGGTTTGTTTATCATTGGATCAAGACATAATAAAAAGAGCATATATAGGAAGAGAGAAGAGAGCAATGATATAATAAATATAACTACAACCTTATTATTTAATTTGTAAAATAATCAATATAAAAATAAACTTTAATAGTAAATGTGTTTCTATATTGATATTTACATTCACACTTTGAACAATGTTGAATTTCTTTGTAAAAGATGACAATTGATCTGACATCAATACAATTACTTAAATTATTAAGCCCTTAATTTGATGTAATAAAATACTATTACCATTTACTAGCTGGTATATTGCCTATATAAATTTGTCTAAAGTTTTTGGGACTGAGAGTAGAGTTTGGAGGAGGTGGGCATGGAAATATACATTTACATCTCTCATCTCTATATTGTGCCTATAAAACAATCAACATTATATAATATATATTGCTAAAAATCTTAACTTCATATGTCTTGAATAAACAAACCAGCAAAAAGATTAACAACATAAATCTACTGAAGAAATCTTGGGTTCATAAAATTAATTTCTAGCATCTGTTTGACAAGTAACATGATATTTGATAGAAAATGACATAATGACAAGTAATTTAATTTTCCGATTTTCATTAATATAATATTATTATTTTAGAATGATAATGTAATGAGCTCTTAATTTGCTTATTAATACTTTTTATCAATGGAATTATAGATTTTTTAAGGTTAGGTTTTTTTTACTTTCTCTTTATATTTTCCAAAACAAAAAAAACGAAGAATCCAATATTATTTTTTATATCAATTATTTATTATAAAATAAAAATACAATAACATGTATTCCCTTTTCAAGGTAGTACACTACACAATTTTCCGGTAACTATTAACAAAAATTAATCAGCGTAGAAAAATCAATACATAATGACCTATAATTTAAGAATTATTTTTATGTTCCCTTTTCTTGCATTATTTCATAAACGCTCTCTGTTCGTCAATAATATCCGTTACAGCATTTTACCGTTGAGCCAGAACTTCACACCGTTGATGTTCCGTTATTGTCGATGGTTGTCATCTTGCGATTGTATCCTTCTACTTTGACATTATCGGATATACGATATTCTTGGTCATGCGGCGATTTGATTTTTGATTACATGATGTTGTATCGGTTGTTGTCTATCAAAGATTATCCTGCAGGTCTTTATTATCAATATTATTTGCACTCAAACAAGATATTGTTGGTAGTTTTGTTAATTGGTTGGTTGTGTAAAACCCAGACCCTAAGTTTGAGTCTAAAAAATTGACCAAACCAGCTCTGAGAACGAACCCCGAGCACAGACCCAGGGTCCAGACCCGGGGTTCAGTCTCGGGGTTGAGACAAAATCTAATTTAAATATCTTTAGATTGAAAGTATTCATTTTTTGTCTTGATGGGTATGACTTGGTCTTGGGTGGGGGGGGGGGGGGTGTAAAAAATAATATTTTTTGATGTCAAATAAAAGGCAATTAAAATATATTTTTTATTGTAACAATAATAATCACGCATAGAGGGCGGATCTAGGTCGGGGTCAGGAATATTTTTATCAACACAAAATATGGTATCAAATAAAATTTAATTTAAATATTTTTAGATTGAAAGTATTTATTTTTTGTCTTGATGGGTATGAATTGGTCTTGGGGGTAGATGAAGGGGGTTTGTCTTAATGGGTATGACTTGGTCTGGAGGGTGGATGGAGGGGGATGGATGTAAAAAATAATTTTTTTTGATATGGGTATCAAATAAAAGGTAATTAAAATATTTTTTTTATTGTAATAATAATAATCACTCATAGAGGCGGGTCTAGGTCTTGGGGGGTCAGGAATATTTTTATCAACCCAAAATATCGATGTGGGTATCAAATAAAATCTAATTTAAATGTCTTTAGATTGAAAGTATTCATTTTTTGTCTTGATAGGTATGACCAGGGTTGCCATGTCTCCCCCCATTAGCGGAAGACTTCCGCAATTTTTTAGCTTACACGCTGACATCTCTTCCGCAAAACTACGGCAATTGGAAATCTCCCGCAAAAATCTACCGTAATTTTTTAATATCTCCCGCAATTTTTTTTTAGTATTAAACATTTTCAATATATAAATAATAATTTTGAGAGACATTAATTGATTATTTTTATATTTTTAAAATAAATTTTAAATATTTGTTCGAAAAACATGTCTAGTTTGTAAATTTCTTTTCATCTTGTTTAATTTTTATCCAAATCAACATCAATTTATTCATATAAGTCAGTACAGGGGAGTATATCAACATCAATTGCAATACAAAAATATTCTCAAAAATAATAAATAATACAGATGGAATTACATTTGCGGAAATCGTATACATCTATCATGTAGTTCAACATTCACAGAGCTATAACATCACAACGAATCTTTTTCTCATAATATTTAAAGACTCCAATATAAGTGCAAACCTTTCTTGTGGCAGAACAAAAATGAGCAAGGCTATCAAGGGTTTTAGTACCTGAATCCTAGAGGTCAATTCTAGACGATTTGAAAGATGGGCATCCATATGCAATTCTAACGGGCATGACTAAAATACGCGTCCCCGAAAACTACGCGTCTACGCGTCCCCGGTCAAACGGGTTTAATTTATATAATATTAATAAAAAATCTTATTTAGCTTTATAAGATGAGTTAAAAAATGTTTTTTATGATTTAAAAAAAATGATAACTTAGTAAAATTTTTAAAAAATTATTTTTTTAAATTAAAACTACGCGTCCTTACGCGTCGCCGATCAAGATACATTTTTTAAAAAAAAATAAAAGTAGATTCATATTTAGCTCATTAAATGGATACAGAAAATGTTTTTTTTTATTTTAAAAAAAAGTGTTAACTTAGTAAAATTTTTAAAATACTAACTTTTTACATAAAAAAACTAGGCGTCCTTACGCGTCTCCGGTCAAGATACAATTTTTTTTTTTAAATAAAAGCAGATTCATATTTAGCTCATTAAATGGATACAGAAAATATTTTTTTTGATTTAAAAAAAAGTGGTAACTTAGTAAAATTTTGAAAAAACACTTTTTTTCTTCATTTTTTGGCTAAAATACGCGTCCCCGGTCAAGATAGATTATTTTTATAAAAATGAATATAGAATCGTGTATAGTTTTTCAAGGAGATTCCGAAAATGGTATTAATAATATTTTTTTTAAAAAAAATTGATTTTCGAAAATTCTTTTTTTTGACTAAACTACGCGTCCCTACGCGTCCCCGGTCAAGATAGATTATTTTTATAAAAATGAATATAGAATCGTGTATAGTTTTTCAAGGAGATTCCGAAAATGGTATTAATTATATTTTTTTTAAAAAAAATTGATTTTCGAAAATTCTTTTTTTGACTAAACTACGCGTCCCCGGTCAAGATAGATTATTTTTATAAAAATGAATATAGAATCGTATATAGTTTTTCAAGGAGATTCCGAAAATGGTATTTATGAATTTTTTTTTAAAAAAAATTATTTTTCGAACCGGGGACGCGTATTTTAGTCAAAAAATGAAAAAAAGAGTGTTTTTTCAAAATTTTACTAAGTTACCCCTTTTTTTAAATCAAAAAAAAACATTTTATGTATCCATTTAATGTATCCATTTAATGTATCCATTTAATGAGCTAAATATGAATCTGCTTTTATTTTTTTAAAAAAAAATTTATCTTGACCGGGGACCCGTAGGGACGCGAAGTTTATCAAAAAAAAATTATTAATACCATTTTCAGAATCTCCTTGAAAAACCATACACGATTCTATATTCATTTTTATAAAAATAATCTATATTGACCAGGGACGCGTAGGGACGCGTATTTTAGTCAAAAAATGAAGGAAAAAAGTGTTTTTTCAAAATTTTACTAAGTTACCACTTTTTTTTTAAATCAAAAAAACATTTTATGAACCCTTTTAATGAGCTAAATATGAATCTGCTTTTATTTTTTAAAAAAAATTGTATCTTGACCGGGGACGCGTAATTTTTTTATGTAAAAAATTAGTGTTTTAAAAATTTTACTAAGTTACCACTTTTTTTTAAATCAAAAAAAACATTTTATGATCCATTTAATGAGCTAAATATGATTCTGCTTTTATTTATTTTTAAAAAATGTATCTTGACCGGGGACGCGTAGTTTAGTCAAAAAAAAATATTTTCGAAAATTAATTTTTTTAAAAAAAAAAAAATTAGTAATCCTTGAAAAACTATACACGATTCTATATTCATTTTTATAAAAATAATCTATCTTGACCGGGGACGCATAGGGACGCGTATTTTAGTCAAAAAATGAAGGAAAAAAGTGTTTTTTCAAAATTTTACTAAGTTACCACTTTTTTTTAAATCAAAAAATTCTGTATCCATTTAATGAGCTAAATATGAATCTACTTTTATTTTTTTTAAAAAAATGTATCTTAACCGGGGACGCGTAGAGAGGTGTAGTTTTTAATTTAAAAAAATAATTTTTTAAAAATTTTACTAAGTTATCATTTTTTTTTAAATCATAAAAAACATTTTCTATATTCATTTAATGAGCTAAATATGAATCTGCTTTTATTTAAAAAAAAAATTGTATCTTGACCGGGGACGCGTAGTTTTTTCATGTAAAAAAATAATTTTTTAAAAAATTTACTAAATTATCATTTTTTTTTAAATCATAAAAAACATTTTTTAACTCATCTTATAAAGCTAAATAAGATTTTTATTAATATTATATAAATTAAACCAGTTTGACCGGGGACGCATAGTGACGCGTAGTTTTCGGGGACGCGTATTTTAGTCATACCCATTCTAACAGATGCATCTAATAAAGGAAATATTAAAACATTTCCCTCGATCCTTCGCTATAACAACAAGAATAAGAACATTTCAATAAAACTGTTAAAATTTTTTCCTCGTATAGTGAAAAATCCAACGATGTGGCTAGCTACATGATGGTAAATATAGCTGATTCAGGGTTATCAATGATTTGCATGTCAGCCTTTCTGCGCTGATAATGCCTCTGTAAATTTTGGCAAAAACCAAAGTTACCGAATTGAGGCAGCACAATAATGAATTAATACCATTTGGATGTATATGCCATATACTACATAATTCTTGTAAGAGGGCAATAAATGTGGGGGAGACCAGGGCTAGTCGGCACAATTTTTGACAAAATCGTGATAGCTCCAAAAATAATGATCATATAAGATCTTACCCTAGTAGCCCCGAACCCGTGGTTAGTCGGATCATCGATTAGGCTAGTCAAATCAAGTAGTTAATTAGGCTTCTTATGGGCCAAAAAAATTTTTATCTAGATTTTAATATATAACTATGATACTTTATTTATATAATATTCTATTTACAATAATAACAAATAAAATAACAATCTTTTTTGACAGAGAACCACTCTACATTGAAACCAATCTTCAAAATTATGAAAACTTTTATAATCCAATTTTAAAATTCTATCGATGGCGGGTATTAGGAACATATCGCGACCAAAATTGTGCTGACTCAATTCTGTAAATACTCTCTGTTTTTACCAAATTCCCTGAGACATTATCAGATCAGAAAGCTGATATGCAATTTATTGA